CGGTGAATGGCCGTCCAATGTTTTTAGGACTTCAAAACCCCCCAGAATCTACACGCAAGATCAACATAATCGGCTTAGGGGGGCATTTACAACATGGCCTCTAACACCACGCTGCCCGTCGTATCCCTATTTTAGGCACTCTGGCCCCGGATGTCCGACCGCTTTAGGATAGCAAAACGGTGTGTATGGTGTAGCAGGTGTTGGTGGGCTGGTAGAACCCCAGAGCAGTATCCAAACTGCCCCTGGAGGAGAATCCCTGTTAATGGGAGACTCCCTGGTAATTAGGGCAGCTTCAGAACCCACAGTCCCTAACCCCACCCTCTCTTGATCCCCAAATATATCAATTAAAACAATGCAAATGTAATATCAAACACAGCCAGAGTCAAATATTCAATATCACAGCAGTGATATTACCACATCAGCAGAGCATGTGTCAACCACAGTAACCAATGTGAAACTATAGTTTAACCTTAGCAGAGTTTCTATTCCCCCTTAAACAATTCAAATCCAAATTATCAACTAATGTCAGCCTTTTCCAAGGAAGGGCGTTCTTACATTCAGAGACCACGGGAGAGAGACCAGGAGTTTGGGTCGAAGTGTACAAAGTACAAACCGGATTTATTAAGGTTTTAACAAAAATTGAGGATTAAAAAGAATCCTTAAAAATAATAAAGACACCAAGTCAAAATACAATAGCAACAAGTCAAGTCCTCCAGCCGTCTAAAAGAGCCCGAGCCCAGAAAACTTCGCAAGTAGCCTCCCAGCTCTCAAGACCTCCAAGAGCCCAAGACCTCTCGTTTCTTCTTCTCCATTCTTCTTTAAAGTCTTCTTCCTCCTCCCTCTCTTCATCAGGTCATCCCCCTTTCTCTCTTTGAGTCAGAAGGAGGTCACAACTGTTCAACTTCTAATTATTGAACATTAAAAAATGTAAGGTTTACAAATTAAACAAATACAAACTTATAGTACTGATATGTAATTTTAAAGAGAGGGAATATGAACATTTTTCATGAAAGCAGAACACTTGTGTCAATGTCATGTTTTAGAATCAAGTTATTTTCTTTAAACATTTCAATATCAAATATGCAAACTTGATACTTTAATTCATTAACAGAGACTTCATTTATTAACAGGAAGTTGATTGAATCTGTGCGCAGGCCGCCTGCATCCTGTGCCTCATTGTCTTCATACCAGCTGTAACCGCTCTCAAGGTGTCAAAAACCACAAGCGCCTTTTCAGAATGGTAGCTGGAACTTTTACGCTTTTATTGCACCACCTAGAATGTGTGTGTATAGGTCAAAAGTTCAGAATGTTCTATCTAGTTTCACATGCCTGGTTTCATATGCCTGAAACAACAAAGAAGGAAACATACATCCTTTCCATTCACAGCCAATTTAGGATCTTTTTATCAATGGTAAGTTTAATAGAGGTAGGTGAGGCAAAGGTCAGGTCTGACACGGCCACTTACACAGCAGAACTGTCAACAGCTCAAAAACTGATGCACAATTTCGATTTTGACAATTTCGTAATATTGAACACATCATGTTTGAGTTCTTTTAAAAAAAAATCATTTTGATTGTATTTCCCCCCCTGACATCTAAAGCTACCATGTGTTCAAGATTTCACGAATATATATATACAGTGGGGCAAAAAGGTATTTAGTCAGCCACCAATTGTGCCAGTTCTCCCACTTAAAAAGATGAGGCCTGTAATGTTCATCCTAGGTACACTTCAACTCTGAGAGACAGGATGGGGGGAAAGAATCCAGGAAATCACATTGTAGGATTTTTAATGAATTTATTGGTAAATTCCTCGGTAAAATAAGTATTTGGTCACCTACAAACAAACAAGATCTCTGGCTCTCACAGACCTGTAACTTCTTCTTTAAGAGCCTCCTCTGTCCTCCACTCGTTAACTGTATTAATGGCACCTGTTTGAACTCGTTATCAGTATAAAAGACTCCTGTCCACAACCTCAAACAGTCACACTCCAAACTCCACTATGGCCAAGACCAAAGAGCTGTCAAAGGACACCAGAAACAAAATTGTAGACTTGCACTAGGCTGGGAAGACTGCATCTGCAATAGGTAAGCAGCTTGGTATGAAGAAATCAACTGTGGGAGCAATTATTAGAAAATGGAAGACATACAAGACCACTGATAATCCCCCTCGATCTGAGGCTCCACGCAAGATCTCACCCCGTGGGGTCAGAATGATCACAAGAACGGTGAGCAAAGATCCCAGAACCACACGGGACCGAGTCAATGACCTGCAGAGAGCTGGGACCAAAGTAACAAAGGCTACCATCAGTAACACACTACGCCGCCAGGGACTCAAATCCTGCAGTGCCAGACGTGTCCCCCTGCTTAAGCCAGTACATGTCCAGGCCCGTCTGAAGTTTGCTAGAGAGCATTTAGATGATCCAGAAGAGGATTGGGAGAATGTCATATGGTCAGATGAAACCAAAATAGAATTTTTTGGTAAAAACTCAACTAGACGTGTTTGGAGGAGAAAGAATGCTGAGTTGCATCCAAAGAACACCTACTGTGAAACATGGGGGTGGAAACATCATGCTTTGGGGCTGTGTTTCTGCAAAGGGACCAGGACCACTGATCCGTGTAAAGGAAAGAATGAATGGGGCCATGTATCGTGAGATTTTGAGTGACAACCTCCTTCCATCAGCAAGGGCATTGAAGATGAAACGTGGCTGGGTCTTTCAGCATGACAATGATCACAAACACACCGCCCGGGAAACGAAGGAGTGGCTTCGTAAGAAGCATTTCAAGGTCCTGGAGTCAGTCAGTCTCCAGATCTCAACCCCATAGAAAATCTTTGGAGGGAGTTGAAAGTCCGTGTTGCCCAGCGACAGCCCCAAAACATCACTGCTCTAGAGGAGATCTGCATGGAGGAATGGGCCAACATACCAGCAACAGTGTGTGAAGACCTTGTGAAGACTTACAGAAAACGTTTGACCTCTGTCATTTCCAACAAAGGGTATATAACAAAGTATTGAGATGAACTTTTGTTATTGACCAAATACTTTTCACAGCTGTGATGAAACACCAGCTAACTTTGAGTAATGATTAAAATAAGACGTCCTTCTTCCTGCTCCTTTCCATCATGATCTGAAATGCTCAAAGGCTTTTTAAAAACCTCACTTTCAGAGGCTTTAAAAGTCAAAATAAACGTTGAAACATTCCTTTCGTGTCGAGGGCTCACCATGAAGCTCAGGTAGAACCTCTCTCCTCGGTGAGCAAAGTGCCAGAAACACTCGAGGCCGGCGGCAGGAACCACCACGGAGAAGTCGCACTGGTCGGTTCCCCAGAACAGCTCCTGGTCCGTCATGTTTCCGTGGAAGTTTGTCTGCGGCCCACCGAGAACCGGACCGCAAAGCACGAGGAACAAAAAGGGGATAATCCTCAACATGTCTGACAACACGAGGAGCTCCTTTCCAAATGAGGAGGTTTGCTAGAGTCTGAGTGAGGGAGGGGAGAGGAATGATTAACCAGTACCAACAAGTCAGTGGGAAAACTGGGCTGCCTCACAGGTGGGATGAAGATGGTGTCACCTCGCCCCCCTCTATCTCACCTCTCCCAACAAAATCCCAGGACTATCCCTTGTAAGCAAATTAGCTGAGTAGCACTGCTCCATTTATAAAGATATATATATGTATTAAAATATAAAAAGGTTTCCAAGAAGAGATTAATTTAAAAAGAGAGACTGCTCCACCAACGCTATTAATTTCTACATCCATCAAATTCAAAATCTAATTTCCTTAAGCGTGTAATGAATATAAGTTGTTGAATTGAGAAGTGATCACAAGAAAAGGACATGTTGTGTCTTAAAGAGGCCCTATCATGCTTGTTGGGCTTTTCCCTCTCCTCTAGTGTATTCTATAGGTTTTAGTGCATGTATATGGTTGCAAAGGCTAAATAATATTCACATTAACATAACGGTGTGTAATTACATTTCCATTATTCTTTGTACTGCTCTGTTGATTGAACCGACTAGTAAAGTAAAAGCAAAGTAAAAACAAGAAAACCATCAAGGTTGAATTTCTGCGATTCTTTATTTACACTCAACTCACACAGCATGTATAACCCAACACCATAGAGCGGTCCAGGGAAGACGCATTTTTGTAGGCCATCTGAAGTAAGCTGCTGGCAAAAAAGCGGGATTTCTCCATAAGATTTTGGAAAATAGCTGTAAATAAGGTTTGTGGAAAACGAACCTGTTTGATAAATGCACGTTTTATTCAGCCGGATAATATCCACATGTCTACTTTTATAATGTTCTAATCGTAAATCTAATCCCCGGAAGCAAAATGCTAACGTTATGCTATAAAGCAGGGGATGGCCACAGGTGGACCGCGGTCCACCTGTGGCCGCGGTTATTTTATTTATCTAAAATTAAGCACTTTTAAGATGCACACATTTTCAAAAGCTATTTTATTGTAAATGCAGCCAGAGAGGAGCATTACACATATCCACAGTATTTACTGTATATCTGTGTAGTCCAATGTTAATTGACAATAAATATTGTTGTTTTTAAAATTGTACTTTCTTTTTTTGATTGGCAGTCAGTTGTTGATAAAGCTACAGCTACTTCAATATATATCGCACAAATTCATAAAGCAAGTTAGACATTTTGATGTTCCGGACCTTTGCATGGGGAGATTTTCTCTAACTGGACCTCGTTGAATTTTAGTTGAATACCCCTGTACTAGACCATGGATGTATAATGCTAACGTGATGCTATAAAGGAACTACAGCCGAGTACAGCAGCACGACTTCAACGTCACGCCAACTTAAGATCCATATAGATTCTAAATGGTACAAGTTGAAGCGTTTGTTTCAACACTCTGCAGGAGGCAGGGACTTGCTTTCACGCTGAACAGGGCAAACAAACTTAGAGGAGTGTTTACGTGTTCGGCGTAATGACGTACAACGGCCTCCACGACTTCTGTAGTCCTATTCAGCCACTTGGTAACAACCATCGTTTTTCAGACACGTCAACTCTTCAGAAATCACCAGTGGGGTCACTGCTGATGATTTAATGTCGTAGAACAAAACGTGATCCGTCTCTTCAATGTGTCTCAACCACAGACCTTATTTCCAGCTATATTCCAAAAACATGTTCAAAAAACCCATTGGCTCTGAGACGAAGTGGTAAAATGCTAATTCATTTCAGGGTTTTAGGACTCTACACTGCACCACTCTATTAAACATATCTGCAGCAAAATAAAACGTGAAAAACATCTCTGCAACTTCACTCTATTTTGCTTCTCTCACCAGCACACTTGTGTTTATTTAAATTGAACACCCGAGTGAAACCTGTCTTGCAAACTGAGCAGCTGTATGGTTTCTCCTCGGTGTGGACAGTTGCATGTTGTCTCAGATTGGAACTGTGGGTGAAGCCTTTACCACAAACCGTACAACTGAATGGTTTCTGGCCGGAGTGGACAATTGAGTGTTGTGTCAGATTTGTCATTTGTGCAAAGTGTTTTCCACAAAGTGAACAACTGAATGGTTTCTCCCCCGTGTGGACAATCAAGTGTTTTCTCAGACTTGATTTGTGGGTGAAGGATTTACTGCAAAGCGTACAACTGAACGGTTTCTCCCCGGAGTGGACAGTTGAGTGTTGTGTCAGATTGCCACGTGTTGCGAATGTTTTACTACAAAGTGAACAGCTGAATTCTTTCTCCCCTGTGTGGAGGTGGACGTGTTTATTCAGAATTGACTTGTATGTGAAACTTTTATCACAAACTGCGCAACTGAATGGTTTCTCTCCATCGTGAGCAGTTGAGTGTTTTTTCAGATTCGACCCGTCGGCGAATCTTTTTCCACAAACCTTACACTTGAATGGTTTCTCCCCTGTGTGGAGGATCAGGTGTGTTCTCAGATTGCCTACTGTTGCAAATGTTTTACTACAAACTGAGCAGCTGACTCGTCTCTCCCCTGTGTGGACAGTATAGTGTCTATTCAGAATAGACTTGAATGCGAAACCTTTCCCACAAACAGGACAACTGAATGGTTTCTCCCCTGAGTGGATTCTCATGTGCGACACCAACTCACCTCTCCTTTTAAATGTTTGTTGACAAACTGAGCAGCTTTGAGGTTTTGCTTCACTGTGAACTTTGAGGTGTTTGGTCAAACCTGACCTTTTCGCAGATGTGAAATCACAGAAGGTGCAACTATAAAGTGTCTCTCCAGTGTGTTTCTGCAGATTCCCCTCATGCACAAAGCTTCTCGCACACCCATCATCCCCCTCAATGCCACTTCCGGGTACTTCATTGTCTTGCAGAGGGTTTAAATCGGGTTTCTCCCAATTTCTACTGTCGTCAGTCTCGTACTCAGAGTGTGAACTTGTGTATTGAGTAGCTGGTTGTAAAGGATCATATGGATCTGATCCTTCACACTCCTCTTCATCAGTTTCTGTTTTCTCTACCTCTTGGTTATTCTCAGTCTTGATTTCATGAAGCGGTGAGGAGGACTGAGCCTTCTCTTCATCCTCTTCTTCACTCTTCACAGAAGTGAAAGGGAGGTAAGTATCAGCCACTTCCTGGTCTATCTGCAGACTGGACCAGAGTTCATCCTCTTCCTCTTTAATGTGGGGGGGCTCTGGGTCCTCCTCTACAACACTGAGGCTACACTCCTCCTGCTGGGTATCTGTGGAGATCAATGACATGAATGCAGACATGTTAGAAGACTCTAATTTCATGTTAACACTCAATCATTTATTATCAATTTAATGAGAAATCTCCCCACTGTGTGTACTAGGGGTGGGGGAAATAATCGATACAACATAGCATCGCGATACTTTGCGTGGCGATATTGTATCAATACACGGATGCCAAGTATCGATATTTTTTTATATAAACTGTAGCATATCCCTCCGAAAGATGGTCGTATATAAAACAGGAAGTTACGTTAATACTAGGGCTGTCAGTCGATTAAAATATGTAATCGCGATTAATCGCATGATTGTCCATAGTTAATCGCACATGTTTGATCTGTTCTAAATGTACCTTAGAGGAATATTTTTCAAGTTTTGTGTGTGTGTGTGTGTGTGTGTGTGTGTGTGTGTGTGTGTGTGTGTGTGTGTGTGTGTGTGTGTGTGTGTGTGTGTGATGGATCGTTGGAGCTATGTGCAACTCAAGGCATATGCTCGAACGGGAGCTGCCTGGACGCTGCAATCATGTTGCGCACTATCCGTGCTGAGTGTGCTGACTTCTCGTACAATGTCCCACTGTCTGGCTTCCTGCATAAAGTCAAGTGCTCGGCGCAGTTGTGGCGAAATGTCGCTCCTCTGTTTTCATTTAAACAGCTCCATATCCGTTAGCGCAGCTAGCTAGCATCAGATGCTAACAACAACAATGCACGTAAGGTCTCTCTCTCGCTCGCTCGAGCCACACATACACACACCCTCCCGGTCCTCCCAACAGCCAGTCGGTGCCTGCCGGTGAGCGTGGAAGTCTGGTCTGCCACAAGCGGGCGGCAGGAGCGGGGCTGTCAGCATCAGCTTGTAGATGGTATTTTAAACTCGATGCGCTCTGAAACTACGGGGCGGCCGAGGAAAAAAAATACACATGCGTTAATCGCGTTAAAATAATTAGTGGGCGTTAATTTTGTTTTGCGTTAACGCGTTATTAACGCGTTAACTTGACAGCCCTAGTTAATACATGTATACAATTGCAATGAAAGTAACAAAAACAATGCCATCTCCTTTTTAGGTTCAAAGAACACAAATTGGGTTATTTAAATAAACTATTCATATTGCAAATACATGTTTTAACCAGGAAGGGAAGACGGACATGGATATGGATATGAGCCATGTGATTTGCAATATATCGTATCGCAATACTTAGCATACCGTAGGATCGCAATACTATCGTATCGTGGCTTACGTATCGCGATAGTATCGTATCGTAGGGAGCCTGGCGATTCCCAGCCCTAGTGTCTACTCTTATATAACCAATAGATATAAATGTGGTTGTGAACATGGTTCAAAACATGGTCGGAGAGAGCGTCTGCAAAACAAATATATGAATGCCAACATCGGGTTTGTTCTCTGATCTGATAAAGAGGAATATGCCTCATAAGAACTCTTCTGCATCTGGACCTGTGTTGAAAATGTCTGTATCAACAAATGTGTCTGTGTTTACAAAAACAGGAAACCATGGAAGACCATGGAGGTCCAGAACCTTTCTCCCTTCAGTTTAACTCCAACGCATCTTGAGATACATCGTTTTTAATATGATAAAGAACGTAATCCGTCAGACAACCATAGACGGCCAATTTTGTCCCCACGACTTTCTAAAAGCACAACTTGTAAATGTTCTGAGAAACAGCGTGCACAAAGACATGTAATAAATAAGAACACTGGTTTAGTGTCAAGATGTTAATACACTTTAAAAATGTACACAAAAAAAATACATTGATCCCGCTTTGCAGCTTTAAAAAAAAAAGAAGCCTCCTTACTCTACTGACTCTCAAATGACTCAGAAACATGCAGGAATGTTGTTTGGCCTGTTTCCTTAAGTAAACGTAGTCTTTTTGCTTTGTGTTATTGTCAAAGATAACCAGAATGCGTACTTGACATTAGGGCTGTAGCGATACACTAATCTCACGATACGATACACGATATTCAGCTCACAATACGATATATATCACGATATTCAGCCAACGATACGATTCACTTATATCATTTTCTGAAAGATTTTAAAGGGACAGTGTGATTGTTAGAGCCAGTAATTTGATTTGATAAGAAAGGCCACCTAATTGTGACGTCTGTAGTCAACGCACTATAAAGGACTACAATTCCCACGGCGCCTGGGCTAACGCCACAGTGATGGGCAACCTGTTGAGAGACGCCGTCGGGAACAGTTTTTAACCGTACTCGTAACCGTACACACAAACCGTACAAGTACCCTTTAAGTTGTGAAGTTATCAAGAAAGAAAGAATACCTAAGTTGCGTTGTTTTATTTGAGTTTTGCCTATTTCTTTTGAATATTGTAAAGGCCTATTTTTCTTTGTTGCACGTGCAAAAGTTTGTTATTTTATTTTGAGCAAATACATCGCAACATCTTCTAAACCATCGGAGGCCAAGCAACACTTCAAACTGTGAGTACTTTAAAGATCAAATGCAAAGCTTCCAAATATGCTACATTTTTATAGAAATTTTGTTTTTAAGACTGCCTGTATTTTTTATTTTATTTAAATCGAGATAATACACCCAAAAAAAATGCTTTTTATTGATCCAAAACTCCACCCAAAGCCGTCTGAATTTCTGACATGTAATTCCCAGCAGCCTCCGCGCGCGTGACGTAATAGTGGCCAAACAGTCTCTGGACCAAACATCCCGACTCGGCAGTCTCGGTCACATGTTTTTCGAAAAGAAAACTGAATTAACATGGGTTATTGTTGAGCTTTTTGTTGTACGAACGGTGCGGGATCTGGGAGAGTTTTGCATGCATTTCCCAAAGACCAAATCATCCGCAAAAAATTGATTTTTTTTAGTGAATCGTGTTGGATGGCAACCGACAAAATGGAGCAAGTTGTGTTCTGACCACTTCGCGTGTGATGCATACGACGTTGATCCTGCTATCATGAAGTCTGTTGGTGGAGAAGCATTAATAGCACGTCGGAGGCTGAAACCCGGAGCCGTCCCCTCCACATTTCAGCACAAGAAACCACTGAAAGAACGAAAGAGCCGGGCGATGCAGAAACGCCAAAGAATTGAGGTAAACAACTTTTGATTAGATTTCAAAGCGCACGGAGCACAGCAGATAACGCAGATAACGGAATTTAAGTTTTATTGCTTATAGAGGTGGGCACCGTTAGATTCTGTGTTTTTACGATCATAAACAATGTGTTGGATGTGGAGCTAGGATAAGTAATAAGGGCGCTAGGTGTGATTTCGGTGCAGTAATAGGTTAGCATTTTTAGCTTGGGGCTAATTCACTGTTAGCATTGTAGTTTATCTGCAGCTCATTCATCGCTCCTCCACTCATAACGGAAAAGTGTGAACAATATGCATTATGATAGGGATTAAATCCACTATTATTCCTCCTGGCCCAATTAAAAATGCCCCCCGCGCAATTAAAAGTGACTGTGAGCACTTAGAAAACCCAACATTCTTCTAACCACTTCATTAGGCCTATGCATCAAAAAAGCCCTCCGCCATGCTTTCTTTTCTTTCAGCCGAGTGGGTGCTTATAGAGGCGGGCACCGTTAGATTATGTGTCTTTACGATCATAAACAATGTGTTGGATGTGGAGCTAGGATAAGTGGTGAGTCCGCCTGGACTTTATTTTTCTAAACCTCTCTAAAAAGGTCAAACGTCACTTGTTTTGCATCAATCTTGATACAGGGTACTTATTATATGTTATAGTTTTGATTCCTAAAGCTTTTAGTCTATAGTCTACTCAGAATCAGACATGATAACGAAACTAAATTGTACTATCGGCGGAAGCAGCTGTGAGCGATAAGCCAAGGTTTGTTTGTTTGGCCACTGTGACGTCACGCGACGCCATCTTGCGGAGGAGCGGCTGAGAAAATAAATCGTCGGACTTGGTGTTGGGGGTTGAACAAAATAAATATTGCGCATTGCCAGACGCATATTATCTCCGATTTTAATACTGCAATATCTTAGATAGTGTTGTAGCTATATGATTTCACTGGCAATTATAAAAAAACCTTTGCATTTGATCTTTAAGGAAAGAAACAAGTTAGAACTGTCTGTTTAAGGCATCTAGTGGCTTGATGGAAAAACAAGGAAGGAAGCCACGACAGTGATTTTGGTGACATCTTGTGAGTGTTCCATTGACTTGGATTGAATTAATTCAACTGAAAACTGAAAGCATCAATTATACAATATATGGCTCTGACAGCAGCCTAATGCAGCTTGCAAATGCTGGACAAAATGAATCAAAAGATGTGGTGAGAAAATTTGTTTCATTTATTGAAACAGTACAAACTGTAGCTTACAAGCCTTTGTACGTAAGTACATAAAGTGCAGTATCACAATGGAAAATGGAGAATTAAAAGGTGCAGCAGGTGGCGGAACACGGGGGATTTGAATGGGACTTGTTACTGTGTTGCACACCGAAACCTACTGATTTCAACACTACAACTATAGACGTCGAGATATTATTATTGCTAAATATTAAATGAAGGTACAGTTTATTTGAATACGTTTGTTTACAGACGTGGGTAGCATGAGACAACATCCGGAAATGATACCAGCCGTGAGGTATTTTTGGAGTATTGATTACAGCGTTTAAAATGTATTAAATGAAAAGTCATGAAAGAGATAAGGAGGAGGAAAGGCGTGTTTAGTTATATATTTAATGTACAATGTCTGAATCCTCTGTAATGCGCAACAATGAACATTGGAGACGTGGAGGGCCGGCCCCCAGCACCGCCAACCGGCCCACAGGGAGGAGCCAGCAGAGGATATTTAACAGCTGGAAAGGTGGAGCTCGCTCTCTTCCCTTCGCTCAGGAGAGCCAGAACACAGCTGTTTTTCTGACTGAACCATCTTCTGCTTGTAACATTACCACGCTTTTTATTAATTAAAGTATCAATTTGAACCTTCTCAGAGACTCAATTAGTCTCCTTTTTAAAGCTTCTCTCCTGGACGCGAGAATAACGAACACAGTTATCAGACTTAATGTATCGATACCCGCGGCTGAAATATCGATACTTTCCCGGAAAACTAAATATCGATATATATCGCAGGATCGATTAAATTGCACAGCCCTACTTGACATGTTAAAAGAGAATCCCCCAGACGCCTGCAGGGCTTTGGTTTGCAAACATAGTTTTCACAACATGTGCGTGTGCATTTGCATCACTGTGGAGAACGGGCGTGATCAAGACTCTATAAGAAAGACAGCGATAATTCGCCACACATTTATATAATGGTTCCTTCCAAACCGTCTGTAGCCTGACTGTGAATCCTCTCGACACAGCAGGTGCTACCAGATAATAGTAAGGACCAAAAAAAGGGTGGCGCGCAATATAGTTTAATTTAAAAGAAGTGTCCCAACCACTTTTGAAACAAAGTGACGCCCATGCAGACAAGTAATATATACTTATTATGAATATGTACACAAGTATGAATAACCAAATACCTTACAACTATAAAAACAAATCCCAACACCGATTGGATAGAGATCAGTATATGGTACAATAATATAAACATAACCAATAACTATTAAACACAACTTTATTCTAACAAAACATAAACTTTGAACTGTTATTTTACTGTCATATTATTTCGCGAGGGGCGGGGCTCACACACAGCCAGGTCAGGACACTCAGCAGTGTTGCAGCCAAATGAATAATATAGAGACAAGCAGGAGACAACGTGTGACTTACTCGAGGGGAATTTGAAGTTAAATGGAAGTGGTTGCAAAACCTAATACCACATCTCCAGTGTGGGAATATTTTGGATTTAGGCCAAATGAACGAGGCGAACCTACGGACTTGAATGAGCCGGGCGGTGTGTCGCATTTGTTTTAAAAAGGAAGCAACAAAAGCTAGCAATACGACCAACCTTAAACTGAAACACACAACCACCTCATTCCGTTTCCCCAGCTGGGAGCAAACACGGCAGCTGGAGATGGAGAGGCCCCACCTTCCCGACAGTTTGTAATCAAAGATGCATTTGCCCGACAATTAGGGGTGTTGAAATTAATCGTTTCTACGATGCGGACGTGGACGATTCTGCATCGATGCAGTGACAGAACATAATCGATTATAGCGTAGTAACGTTGCTTCCTGATTTTCCGGCCACGGCTTTACAATAACGTTACTTATGTCACTTGAATATCTAATCGGTCGGTGCCGCAGAGATCAGGGAACAGACGTGACAACGGCACAGGGACACCAAACACGGAGCGGTCTGCTTTATCCACCAACACAAGAACACCAGTCCAGAACCAACAGCAGAAGGACCCGCTCTGAATCACTCCGTGTCGCTGCGGCTCAGAGACACAGGGTTTATGTTTTAAAGAAATACAGGCGTTCCAATCATGTCAGGTTTTTGGTGGATTTAGTTAAGTCTTGGATTGCAGAGTATGAATGTCTTCTTGCTATTTACAGACGATACGTGTGTAAAGTTTGTGAAGGCAGGAGGAAAGCTTCCGCGATCACCGTCTCCTCTCTGCTGCTCCAAACCCCGCCCCCTCCCTGAAAATAATGAGTGACAGGCTGATAGTAACCTGATAGAAACTTTATTATTCACTTAATCACTGATTGAGATATGATGAAGATAACTTAGTCTCATACAATCATGGGATTCATGTAACAGTAAGACAGAGAATGTAAAGGCACCCGCATGCAGTATTTTAGTTGTTATATGCTGTTGTAAATACTCCTGTTGTCTGCTGTGTTCAGACTCAAGTCCTGTGTGTGATGCCACAGGACATTCAGTGTCCTTTTTTAAACAGAAGGCCGTTGCTAGAAGCTGCAGCTAGACCGCAGAAGCATAGTTTTTTGTTTTTGAGGATGGAACAATTTCACACACAGATACTGTATAGGAAGGCTAGAGCTATGCAATTGATTTATTTTGGTTTATAAATTAATGTCAAGACATTTATGTTATTGATTTCTGAAGCACTTTATAAATAATAAAAAGGGAGTTCATATGTATTTACTGCATGTATTCATTGATGAAAAAGAAGCCATGTGCAGTAATATAGAAAATTGAGGAAGCAACGCATTGGTATGCATCGGGATATCGAATCGAAGACAGGATAATCGTAATTGAATCGTGAGACCAGTGAAGATGCACAGCCCTAACGACAATGCAAACATGTAGGTGTTCCTTGCTCGAAATCTTTGAAATACAGATGTGGTCTTTGTATGGACAGTGGACTGTACACTTGACTGTTGTTTTAAGGAGGGTTTTTTTGCCTGTGAAACAATGTGTGCTCATATTTATTTATTTAGACAGACAGAGCCTGAGTCTATTTAATTTATTGTTTTGGTTGTGTGTGATTTAATTCGTTTTCTATAATTTAATTTATTCGTTTTATTTATTATATACAATTTATATATTTGAATATTATTTCACATTTCATTTGCAATGTTGAATGTTCAATAAAAAGTTATGTTTGAAAGGATGTACTTGAATTATTATTATATATTATCATTATGTCAGTGGTCTAAAATGGTCTTACAGCGGTGCCGACAATATTATCGTTAATCGCAATTATTTCCGGGAAAATGTATCGTCCAACTAAATTAATTATCTTGACAGGCCTATGTATACATTGGAATGATTTTAAATGTGTCATTGAGTTAATGTCCTCCACTGCTTGTAACAGATTACTTTCAGTGTCTTTTACTTTAGCAACTGACCTGATTACTCCCTCCAGCACTCGTCTTCCCAGCAGCCATTTCAAGTGTAAAGATTAAAAACAACAGAGGTGGGAGAAGTACTCAGATTGTGAACTTCAGTAAAAGTAGAAGTACTCAGATTGTGAACTTCAGTAAAAGTAGAAGTACTCAGATTGTGAACTTCAGTAAAAGTAGAAGTACTCAGATCTTGTACTTGAGTAAAGTAGAAGTACTCAGATCTTGTACTTGAGTAAAAGTAGAAGTACCAGAGTGTAGGGAATACTCTGTTACAGTAAAGTCCTGCATTCAAAATGTTCCTCAAGTGAAAGTAGAAAAGTATTCTCATCAAAAATATAATGAAAGTAGCGACAGTAAAAGTAGTCGTTGTGCAGATTGGTCCATTTCAGAATAATATATATGATATGTTTTATAATGATTGATCATGAAAGTGTTCTCAAAGCTGGTAAAGGTGCAGCTAGTTTGAAGTACTTTGTATACTGCAGGGTAGCTGGTGGATTTACTCCAGGTGGAACTAAAGTCTGATTCAACACTTGATTATATTTCACATCATTCATCCAGATCTGTGAAGTAACTAAAGGTATTAAATACATGTTGTGGAGTAAAAGTACACAATTTACCTCTTACCTGAAGTGGAGTAGAAGTACAAAGCAGCATAAAAAGGAAATGTATTCAAGTAAATTACAAGTATCTCAAAATGGTACTTGAGTAAATGTACTTAGTTACTTCCCACGTCTGAAAAACAATAACACTACTTGACAAACCTGTTCTGTATAGCCGGACTTCTGGGTTCAAAATGGCGTCCAGTAGCTTCTGTTGTCGCTGATTCTCCTTTAAAGTTGACTCCAGTTCCTCTGCTATCGTCCTCTCAAACAGCTCGAATATCTCCTCAGCAGCTGCAGTGAGCCGCTCGTTGACAAAAGCTCTCAGTGTTTCAACTTTAGACATGTTTCTATCAAATCACAGCAACCTTTCCTCCAGTGAAAGCTGTGTTTGCTAGGCTACGTTCTCGTCCGTCTCGAGCTAGAAAGCTAACATCCTTAGCTTCGTGGGGGAGATATTCCAGACGTTTCTTAAGCCATAAACACCGCAAACTCCATTCAGATAGGTGTTTTGACGGTTTTCCCCTGACAAATAATACAGATTGGTCTCTGCAATGAACGCTGTGTAGTCAAGTTCCGTCACCGTCTATGTGGAGCTAGCGCGCTAAGCTAAACTTCTGCTAGCATTCTTCACTCCATGGATTTTTGCCCAATTCCAAACCGCCACCTACACACTACCCCTCCGTTTGCGTGTTCTCGCAACATTAAGTGCTGTTCCAAACCAACGAGTGATGAGGGGGAGTGGGTTATAACCATAGACTGGTTATAACCTATAGTTCTAACGTAGAGCCCCTTCAACAGCGAGTCTGCATCTGAAAGGACTCACCGCTGGGTGTGTCCGTTAGGAAACAAGCTGCTTACAAATTGTTCCGTGAAAACAGTTAATGATAAACTGTGCCAAACAAGATAGACATGTAGGCCCAACTCCAAACCACACCCTACCCTACCCACTCTCACTTGAAACTCACAGCTAAATGAGTCTCTCTCCTATCAGATTGAGGGTGTAAAAACAGCAGAAAGCTTTGGAACAAACTCCCTCTCTCTCCCCGGCATCTCTTGGACAAACATTCTAAATAAATAACTAAAATGTAAATAAAACTCCAAAAATCTTTAATTTAGTTTTTAGCCTGATGTTTATAAGCTTCTTAGTTTTTGCAACAGTCTGTAAATATAGACAACTTTATAATAAAATGCACACATTACCTTTTTCTAGACGAAACACGGATCCTAAATTTAAAAAATCGGAGGTTTCATGAAGTTATTAACATTGACTACAATTTCAGATGAGAAAGCAACACAATTGAAATAATATGGAATGTAACAGTTTACAGAGGACTTCTGCACCAAACAAATATTGTTCTTAAATACAACTAATAGTTCAGACCTCAGACAACATCTATGCTTCAGACAGGCTGTCAGACTACTGCTTGACCTTTCATCTAGAACCCACCTCACCTCTGCCCACTTTGACAACCTAGGATGGCTTAGAGTAGACGACCAGAGTACAGCTACTTGCAATGGGCCTGGTCTACAAGATCCACTACACCTCTATGGTACCCATGTACATGTCAACATTCTTCCCAAAGGTCAAGGAATACCATGATCATAACACCAGAGGGAGCTCCACAAATCATGTGAACCCAGATTTGGCACAAAAAAGGGGGAATACACGTTTCGCAATTATGCCACATCAAGGTGGAATGCTCTTCCCACAACTGTAAAGGAAAGTAAAACTATACTTACCTTCAAAACCTCTCTTAAAGAGCACCTTCGGGGGAGAGCATTGCAAAACTGGCCCCGGTAATGGTACAAATCTCAACCTGTCGTTCAATGGACAGCTTCCCCCCCCATCTATGTATATACTCGCATTTTAGACTCTGTTACTAACTGTATATCTGTAGACTTGGTATGTCTTAAATGTCCGGTTAGGATGTATTAGAACGAAATCTAAAATGAAAATTGTAAACAAGCAATCTGTATGTAAAAAACCACCTGTATGTAAATTGTAAATAAGCCATCTGTATGTCTTAAATGTCTTATATGTCTTAAATGACATGATGAATTGGAAATGGGGGGCCCTGATGTAAACAAGACGAAAGTCTTTCTCTGGTCTGCATCCCCTTAACAATTGTATGTTTTGAGCTGTACTGTACTGTACCCAATATACAAGCTGTTAATAAACTTTTCAATCAATCAATCAATGCCCTCCATTTTGAGGACGTAGCTATGAAGGCTCCGAAACCAGTAAAGGGGAAAAGTTCACATTTATTGGACTCTCGGATGTTTAGTTTTCCTGACAGAACAGTATATAACTGACTAAATAATAATAGAGCCTGGTTTTAACACTCATCCTGTTGTTTTCCCTCCTGCTCTGTCGAATAGAGAAATGGTATGGCAAGCCGATTGAGCTTTATTAATTTCTGGAGGGTATACAAATATCAATTCTTACTAGTAACAATGTTTATTTTTGATATTTTAAATTAAATTGTAACTAGTTGTAATTTGTAATTCTGATATCAGACAATACAATTACAACTAGTTACAATTTAATTTGAACTAGTAAAAATACCAATTTCTGATATCAAGAATTCAATTTCAACTAGTCGAAATGACAATTTGTTGATATCAGAAATTACAATTTAAACTAGTTAAAAATCTTTTTTTTTTTTAATCTCAGGAATTCAATTGTACTAATTAAATTTGTATTCATAACAAGATCCATCCATCCATCTTCTTCCGCTTATCCGTGGTCGGGTCGCGGGGGTAGCAGTTCCAGCAGAGAGCCCCAAACTTTCTTTTCCCTGGCGACATCAAACCAGCTCTGACTGGGGGATCCCCAGGCGCTCCCAGGCCAGCGAAGAGATATAATCCCTCCACCTGGTCCCTAGGTCTACCCCTTGGTCTCTTCCCAGCTGGACGTGCCTGGAACACCTCCCTAGGGAGGCGCCCAGGTGGAATCCTAACTAGGTGCCCGAACCACCTCAACTGGCTCCTTTCGACGCGAAGGAGGAGCGGCTCAACTCCGGAGTCCCCTCCCTGATGACCGAACTTCTCACCTTATCCCTAAGGGAGACACCAGCCACCCTGCGGAGGAAAAACCCATCTCGTGGACGCGTACTTGTATCCGCGATCTCGTTCTTTCGGTCATGACCCACTCCTTCATGACCATAGGTGAGGGTAAAGAACGAAAAATGGCCCGGTAGACAGAGAGCTTTGCCTTCTGGCCTCAGCCTCCTTTTCGTCACAAACGGTGCGGTCTTAAAGCGACTGCAGTACCGCTCCCGCTGCTCCGATTCTCCCGGCCCCATCTCACGCTCCATTGTTCCCCTCACTCGAGAACAAGACCCGCGAGATACTTGAACTCCTTCACTTGGGGTAAGGACTCATTCCCTACTTGAAGTGGACAGTCCATCGGTTTTCTGCTGAGAAACCATGGCCTCAGATTTGGAGTGCTGATCCTCATCCCAGCCGCTTCACACTCGGTTGCGAACCGATCCAGTGAGTGCTGAAGGTCGCAGACCGATGAAGCCATTAGAACCACATCATCTGCAAAAAAGCAGTGGTGCAATCCTTAGTCCACCGAACTGCTAGACCCCACCTCCCCCATGACTACGCCTCGAAATCCGATCCATGTATATTACAAAACAGGATGGTGACAAAGCGCAGCCCTGGCGGAGGCCAACCCTCACCGGAAATGGGGTCCGACTTACTGCCGAGGACCCGGACACAGCTCTCGCTTTGGGAGTACAGAGATTGGATGGCCCTGAGTAGAGACCCCCTCACCCCATACTCCCGCAGCACCTCCCACAGTAACTCCCTGGGAACTCGGTCATACGCCCTTCTCCAAGTCTACAAAACACATGTAGACCGGATAAGCGTATTCCCAGGCCCCCCTCCAGGATCTCCTTGCGAGAGTAAAAAGCTGATCCCGTCGTTCCACGACCAGGACGGAATCCGCATTGTTCCTCCTCAATCTGAGGTTCGACAATCGGGCCTCATAACAATATGGCAAGCCAATTTAGCTTTTATTTCAATTCTGGAGGATATCAAAAAATCTATTCTTAGTAATAATAATGTTTATTTCTGATATCAAAAATGTAACGTTAAAGGTGAGGGAGGTACGTTTGAGAAACCGGCTCGAGATACACTTTTGTTATATTCCATGGAATGCTCTTAACATCCCGATAGCAATGAATATCTTTGACAAAAAATCAATAAAAAATATTCACCTGTGGAAGCCGTAGTACTGTAAAAAGCACGACCAATCATCTGAGCCGGCCCGGCTAAAGTAACTGGGATGGCCTACCTGCCTGTCAGGCTTCCATCTGTGCACAAACTTATCTCGTGCCCTCATTGGTCATGTGCGCGTTCGTGTGGTGTTGGAGGAGGACATGACCCCTACTCTGCAGGACTTGCAAAACATTATTCTGGGCTATGACACAAACACCTTTTTGGGGCCTCAGTGTATTCCTCCTTGAGTCAGGAGCCCCCCTCCCGGTATAGTGCTGTGAGGGGAAGAGGGAAGAAAACTGCCATCTTCGCTTATCAGTGACACCCATAAAACCATTATAGGCCTTACACTCAACTTAACAAACCACTTTGTTTATACTGTAATATAGAAAATCATAACATATGAAACATTTTCATTGTGGGTTATACAATAATATAATTTACTATATTGATTGTAACTAATTTTCTTTTAATTATTCAACCTAATATGAAGATCTCAACAATGTACAGAAGAGGCGGTAGGCAGCCTTATATACCTGACCACATGTACAAGGCCAGATTTAAGTTTTGTTGTGAGCAAACTATCACAATATTTTGCTGAGGCGTACAGAGGAGCAGAGTGGGTAACGGTGAAACACGTGTTAAGATACCTTAGACTCACTATAGAGAAAGAGTTGTGTTTCACAAGAAACGATAGTGAGAAAGCTAGGCTTACTACCTACAGTGATGCCGACTGGGCAGCTGATGTCACCGACAGGCGCAGTACCACAGGATACTGTGTAAGCCTCAGTAAGAACAGCTCTTTAGTCTCATGGTAAGAGTAAGAAGCAGCCTACAGTGGCACTTTCCACCTGTGAGGCAGAATACATGGCTCTGGCCTCAACTATAGAAGAGTGTATCTAGACCAGTTACTGGAGTGTATCGATGAGTACAAATATACACAAACAGTAGTGTATGAGGACAACCAGGGAACATTGCCCTAGCCAAAAACCCTATAAGCAGACAGAGGTGTAAGCACGTGGACATAAAGTACCACTTCATAAGATCAACTGTAAAGGATGGGAAAGTAACTCTGGTGTACTGCCCTACTGAAGAGATGGTGGCCAGGACATAATGGCAAAACCTGTAACTAAGCTGAAACTGAAGAAGTTTGCTAGGAATCGTTTTTGGAGTTTAAAAATGTGTGAGGAGGTCCACATTTTCTTTTTGGTATTTTGTTTACATTTTTGGAGTACAGCAACCTGAGAACAAGTGGGGGTGTAAGCCCCAAGGTCCCCGCCGGCGGGTACCCTTGTTTTTTTTTTTTCTCATGACACTGTCTCAGGGGATCTTAATATTTAAGAACCTATTAATGTGTTGTACTAGATTACCGTGAATAATCTCAGCTAACTAACCATTTTTACCAAAACAAAACACAAGTCTAATAAGAAGCATCTAAATGACCCCTGAGCGAAAAAATGCTAACCTATTACTGCACCGATAATCACTCCTAGTTCCCTTATTACTTATCCTAGGTGCCACATCCAACACATCGTTTATGATCGCAAGGAGACACAGAATCTAACGGTGCCCACCTCAACACTGAAAGATACACACTCACGACGTTATCAACAAAAAGGTACATCAAAACAAGTTGGCGCTAGGT